CCCAATTCTAGATCTTCCCATGCTTTCTTCCTAAGTCTGGACAGCCCTTCCTTGGCACAAGGACCTCTCCCTGTACACCCAAGACTATTTCATGCTGTTTACTGTTTGAACTCTGAACTAACTTCAAGTTCTTTCACGCAGTCAAGCAATTATTTAACCAATAATCAACATTTAACTGCGAATATTAAAATTAGCTCTCTTGAAGGAGACACAGTGTTCTTGCTTCCAGCATTAACAAGCCTGTGCGTTCAGCACTTTTTCCCCCCCCCGTTATCATGTGACAGGCTATTTTTAATATTTGCCTGAATATATTTCGAATCCTCCTTTGATCCGGAGAGCAGTTTAGCGAGGTTTGCCCGCGGATCGCACTGCCGTGGCAGCGGCGCAGGGCGCAGCGCTCCCACCGGGGCGGCGGCAGGAGCGGAGCCGGGCTGGGCTGGGCTGAGCCGGGCTGCACAGGGCAGGCACACGTGCCTGGAGCACATGGTCCTGCAGGCAGCCCGGCCTCACGTGAGGCTCAATGTGAAGCGCAGCTCCGGTACCAGCCCGGCCATGCTGGAGCTGCTCATTGCCACCCTCACGTGGGAGGCCAAAGGTCGGGAAATTCCCGCCGAGAGCCCTCGGCCTCAGGAGAGAAGGGGTTCCTGCAACGCGCGGGGACGGCTTGTAAACAATGATTAAAGCTCAGGAGAGGATTCCACGCACAGGCTGGCAGCTGGGAATGCTGCCCTTGGCTCTGCCAAGCTGTGCTGGAGGAGGAGATCGCGTTAAGAAAGACAGGGGAAGGAAGGCTGCAATCCAGGGAGTGCTGCACACACACCCTTTGAGGCTGCCCTGCAGTGAGTGCATGGAGCAAGAACGGCCTCTCCCAGCTGGCTGCGGTGCCCGGCACAAACACCAACCCCAAAAACACTGAAACCCACCCAGATGGGTGCAGTGCCTGGCACAAACACCAGCTCCAAAAGCACTGAAACCCACCCAGCTGGCTGTAGTGCCCTGGCTGCAGTGCCCACCACAAACACCAGCTCCAACAGCACTGAAACCCACCCAGCGGTGCCTGCTGTCAGTCACTGCAGCTCCGTGCCTGCCCAAGAAGCCAGAGGTAATGGATACTGTGCTCTAGACAGAATATCTGGACTGAGTAAATACACCACAGCACTTCACAAAAATCTTTGGGGGGTGGGAGGTGTAAGTGCACTTCACATGGAAACAATTCTCAGCTTTTTGATTAATGTACCCCTAATTTTACTTTTTTTGCAGATATTGCACATAGGTATATTTCTGCAGTGGATTACAAAGCTTGTTTTTCTTTTTTTTTTCTTTCCTTAAATAATCTTTGGCAAGTAATCTAAAGCACCCAGCCATGCAGGCAACACAGACAGAAAACCATCATCAGAGAACACAAAGAGGGAGCTCTCTCAGAGCCCCCAACAGCCCTGCTCTCCTTTGGAGCAAGGCAGAAACAACACCTGGTTATCACTGTGCCAGCAGCATCCCTGTGACACAGCCCCACATCCAAGGATTTTTGGTGGCAAACAGAAAATTCAGATCTAACCACAAAATCCCAAAAACCTTCTAGTTCCTATTCTCTGCCAGATCTAGCTGATGCTTCTCTAATTCACACCTTTCAAACCCTTTGCAGTACCTGCCCCAATCACCTCCATCAGGGCTACACGGAGCAAAGAGCCAGGTGAAAAGCAACAACCAACTAGCTACTTGCAAAATATACACACTCCCTTTGCATACAAACAGCTAAAAATTACTCCAAATTTCCTTAAGGACTCTGCATTTAAAAATGGAGACTGACGTTCCGCTGCAAGACTACATAAGGTGTACAACATGAGTAACCCCAAAAGTGTGTTTGCAGTAATGGGTTACTCTGAAAGCTTCATAAAAATCTGAAAACCTTTTTCTGAGGAGACCACAGATTTCAATCAACCTACCAGCATCCAATACCAACACAAAACAGGAGTTTTAAATGCATCTACACATGGCAATGAATGTTGGTCTGCAATGCTAAAAATAAATTAAAATACTATTTTTTATTAACAAAAACAGCATTGTGAGAGATAAATACATGGTTTCACTCTTGCAAGTCATTATCCTGTGTCCCTCATCAAAACAAAGCCAGAAATTTCTGTAACTATATTCCCTGAGCAGAAATGTATGGGAAGTAAGTGGTGGCTCTGTTCTTTGTGGATGATAAACTGATGAGCCTAAACATCTTTCCATCGACCAGACAATCTGAGCTGAAAATACAGAATCCTTTTTGTTGCCATTACATTTTTTTAGCAGGGAGAAAGCAAATCCGTGAGGATTTTGGTAATGTCACGTCCACAGTCAGGGTCAGCAGAGCTTTGCTGAGCCTGATGACACTCAGGGAATGCCAGTGCAGATGCCCTGATCTCTTCCAGACACGGCACAAAACACGTTTGGGCGGCGCCACTCACTCCTACAGACAGATGAGGCTTGTGCTGGAACACATGCACACATTAAATCTCCTCATGCTGCTCTGCCATGGACCATCCCCTGGGTCTCCACGTGCAGGGGGATGTGTCCCCCAGGGATGTCCCCCCCGGCAGGGCACAGCCAGGCTGGCAGCTGTGCCCACCTGCACGTGAGCCCGGTGCCAAGCCAGAGCCACGGACAGAGGGACAGGAGCAGCACAGGGCCCGACCCTCCCTCTGGCCCCACACGCTCCAACAGGCGCCCACTGCAAGGCAGAATTCAGAAAGCACACCAGTGAATATTCTAGAATTACTATCACCTAAAACATTCACTTTTCCTGGAGGTAGTAGGATCACATGGAATTAATCTGTATTGAAATGGTATACTTCCTACGACTTGTTCTTTGCTTTATTACAGTAACACAAATCACAACACTATACTGGAATGATAGCTCGCACCAACTAAAAACCTTTCTTTATGTGAAAATTCTAAAAATCTATTTTAAAAGCTCTAAGATATATTAAGCAACAGGCTCCATTACAATGATTTTAACATTTACCTCCCTATTTCAAAGCAGCACATTTGCTTTGGCCCTTTTATGATAACTCTTAAATGTTCATTTTTACTTTTACTAAATTGTAAAAAAAATTTATGCTCCTATATTCTCCAACTTGCTCAAATGCTAAACTGTGAGATGGTCTTCTCTTCAGTACTGATTGTCAAAGAAAGGTTTTCACATGACAGCACATAAAAATTTCAACAATCTGATGATAAACCAGACTACTGTTAATGAAGCCACACTTCCTATCCGTAATGGGGGACAAGAAAATATTATTTAAGAAGTGAAATGAGCTCCCTTACAAAAAAAAAATAGCAACAAATGAAAACATTTAACGAAAAAATCTATTCTTGTTAAGGCAAGATGGTGTTGGGAAAAATACCTGCAAATTTAGATGTTTTATTCTACCCCAAGAGACATAATGTCCTTTACAACAGTAAAAAAGTGCACTGTGAGATAAGTTTGTAACCCCGAGCTGCAAAGGGCTCAGGATAAACTGAAAAAAATCAATGAGTTGAAAAGTCACACAGATAGCTGATTACAAATAAATTCTGACAGGTGATCATTAAAAGCCTGGCTCACTACTAGGCTCCTCTGAAAAAAAGAGAGAATGGGGACAGATTATCTGCTTTTAATTTTGTGCGTGCACAAGTGACAGAAAACGATGTAGCACATATGCACTATTTTTAAAGCTGGCTCAGAAAAAGCAATGGGTTTCATGTTCTGCTCTTGCCTACTCCAAATATATTTTAACTTTGGACACCCTTAAGTTATTAGTTAACCATGAAAAGCCTTGAAACTGAAACACAAAGCAAAGTCAAATCCACACAAAGTAAAAGTAAGTAAATGAAATCCATGACTAAACACAGTTCTGATGGGGGGGGCAAGGAGTATGTTGACAGGTTTGGGGAGCTTTGGGGAATATTTTATTTCTTTTTAACAAGATAGGAATGTTGCAGACTTATAAGACATTTCTATTTCATCCTGCTCCACAACTTTTGCGCCTCTATTTATATATTTAGGCTCCTTATCAGATGATTCTGACAATGACTTCGCACACTGAGCATGGCAAACGATCAAGCAGAAGGGAGAGGAGTGGTTTCCTGCTGCCAAGAGCACACTTTGCTCCAGCACACCTCATGTGAGCAGAAGAGCACAATAAATAAGTCACTCTCTGTTTTGTTTTTTTTTTTTAAGGAAAAAGGCAAAGCTCCATGTTTCCCAAACTTCAATTCTGACACTCTTCCACTGCCCATGATCTCAGCCATGCTGGTGTCAAGCCAGAGGAGTTACTCTGGATTCAAACTGGTGTCTCTAAAGGGATGATCTCAAGTGCTAATAAAATAATAAAAGACTTCCACTGACATCAGACAGGCTGGAATTGTGCATTACAACCAGGCCTTGGACTCCATGGTGTTTTCTTAAGCGTAAGGTGACTACAGATGCAAGTTATGAACTCAGGTCAGAGTTACACTCAGTTTATGCCAATTTAAGCAAGATTATAATGTTGTTCCAAAACTCAGTTCCTGTGGCAAATTTTACTTTGCTCAGTAGAGAGTAAGATTACGGCCAAAATTTCAAGTAAGAAGCATTAACCTTTAACTCCAGAGTAACTGCCCACTCCTGTGTCTCACATCAAATATTGGCTGAAGGCCAATAATTCTCTTTCCCAGTCCTTTTCCCTGCACTTTTAACACTGTGGCATCTATGCCATTCTGTCTGTGGTCTTTTTACTTGCTAACAGCTAAGACAACAAATAAGATAGCCAAGTTTCCACGGAATTCCCAGAGATTTCCTTCAATAATTTAAACAAAAATCCTGGTGGAGCAGCTTAGTGATAACTGGAGCTCTTGTTTTTATTTGCTGGAGTGTGAGTGACAGGAATCCTCTGGGCTCTAAGCTGCCTGTCAGCTGCCCAGGGAGAAGCAGTGATTTACAGAGGGGAGGAGGGTTCATGCCAGATTCCACAGGGGAGTTCTGAGGGCTGATTTACCTGGTCTGACCGGGCTCTGCATGCAGTTCTGCGACACCATGCCTGGATGGACTGAAGTAGAAGCCCTGCTGCTGAGGTCCATGACAGAAGGTGATGCTGAGGTAGCTTGCTGGAGACCTGACTGGTGTGGGCTAGGCTCGTGCTGGTTTGGGCTGGGTGGAATGCCATTTTCTGAGAGGAATTCTTCCAGGTCCATGTATTCCAACTGGAAAGTGTCTCCATCATATGGCAGTGTCTTGTCCCATAATGTTGGACCCAAGAAAGCTGACTGAGGGACTGTGGTACCAGTGCTGTCATCATCTAACTTCTTCTCTTTGTCTTTTTCTTTACCGAATGCTTAAACAAAAACACAGAACAAACATGTAAGAATTCAGTAATTAAAGCATTAATTACTACTACTTCCATTATTTCTGCTGTAAGAAGGGAATATTCCCTTCAAAAAAATAACTCCTTTGACTCACTCTGCTTGGAAGAGAATTGAGGGGTCATGTCCCTGAGCACCTTTGTGGGAACCAACCACATTTTTGAAATTGCCCTTTGTTTTTAGTTAACAGTTCCACTCCATGCACAGCTTTGAATGTTAGCATCAAAAAGTACTCAACAGACTTAAAAGTGAGCATTTAAGTATTCCAGCAAACTGGAAGCTATTGATATATTCTGTTCTAAAGGAACAGTCTTACCCTGAAATCCCTGGGATCCTATCATTCTTCTAAACTAAGAACCCAATCTTGTTAGTCCTGGCACAAGCAAAATAGTCCCCAAATTCTGCACTTCTAAATGTTACTAACATACAGTGGCAAAGGCTGACAAAACACAGTTTTGATGTGCAGAAGACACAACAAAATATTCAAAGGTAGAAGCAAAAAAAAAAAAAAAAAAGCTTAACTGAGGCTTCCTCATTTCTACAGCCCCCAATGATTTCAATGCACGTTTTCTAAGGGAAATGCTTGATTTCTCTGCAAGATCTGCAAGAATCTGAACTCCTAAAGCTTCCTGTCAGCTACCAAGCCTTCGCAGCATTTTATTTTTAACCTCATACAACAGCCCCGGTGAAATCCTGCGAGTCGCTTGGCAGTGGAACTCGGAAAGACGAGGAGGCAGGAACTGCGAGACCTTCCCTGGCTTTCTGCTTTTCGTGCGCGCTCGATCCGCTCGCCATACGCGGTACGGGTATTCCCGAGCTGCCTCCCTTCCCGGGGAAACCACAACTTTCTCCCGGTGAACG